GGTGTAGCCGTAAAATTGCTTACAGAGCTGTCGCTAGTGTCGTTGGGCTCGAGTGATTGCTCGTGCTGCTGTTGGAGGATGAGGGAGCAAGCGTGAAGCAGATCAGGGCAATAGGCATCTGCGAAAAAAGAGAAAAGAAAAGGAAGTGAAGTTAAGAGTCTTAGGCCTACTTCAGCATTAAAAAATTTGGGTAAACATTAAAAAAATTTAAAACAAAATCTAAAATTTTAATTAAAAATATAAATAAAAATATGAATTAGAAAAGACAAAAAGCCCCTAAAAATAAATTGGAATTGAAAAAAAATATTTTTTTTAAACAATAAAATCTAAAAATTAAACAACAAAAAGAAAAAATTATCAAAATAATAAAATAAAATATTTGAGTTTAAAAAAATAAAATTAAACTAAATTGAAAAAAGAAAAAAAATGGGCTTCGAAAAGTTAAATGATATTGAAAAACAAATATTTTTCATTTTAAAACAAAAAAATCTCAAAATTTATTTACAAAAAGAAAAAATATAAAAACAGGAAAATAAAATTATCTTCAAAAAATTGATTGAAATTAAAATACATGTATACATTAGGGCGGGCCAATTTTTTTTACTAGGCGCGTATCGTATAGGTTTCGAAGAAAAAGGGAAAATGTTCACTATTGTGCCCTCTGGTGGAAGTTTAAAGGAAAAGATAAGTACATAAACGGATTATTCATACCAAAAAAAACCTTAAGCATGTTTCTGTACAAATTATAAGCACTTCTTTACGACACTAACGCAAAATGCTAAGCAACTTGATTTCTTGACGCATGGTTTCTTTGGCAAAATGCTTAGAATTATACCTAGAATCCTTCTGTGCTATACGCGCGTAGTCGAAAAAATCTCCCATATAAAGTGATCCGCCCTAATATCTTAAACTACAAAATGTAAGAATGAAGAAAAAAAGGGGGAAAAATACTACTCGGAAACTCGGATCTCTCGAAGGGCAGGCACGCCAGTACTTTGCTCACCCGGCCATTGACTGTTGGAACAGCGCGAGCAAAAGAATATATAAGTGCTTTCTATCAAAAGAGCTTTTCTCTATAAAAGTTGTCAAGGGAGTTTTTTTTGTGAGACTTTCGTATTAGAATAAACAAAATCTTTCAATCTGGCCTATTGTCTTTAAATTGTCTTACAAAAGAATTTCAACTATATTAGGATGAATTGCCATGTTCGTTTTAGTTTCTCTTTTCAAGAGTTCCACACTTGCTTAGATTTTGTAAAGTACGCCATGAAATGACGGCCAGATCGCCTTGACGGTGGCGCAAGGTACTACGCTTTAAAAGGCGACCACCTTCAGCGATAGTAAATACTTCTTCCTGGGCCAAGCAGATGGATTGAT